GAAACCAAAATGACTTTTGCGTTGAATGTACTGCTTGTAAAAGGTGGTTTCACACTACTCACACTAGTAAGAAAGGTGGTGGAAATTGCTTACCACCTGATGTGCCAAGTTCTACTCAAGTGTTAGAACACATAGATTTCTTTTGTATTTTATGCAGGTACTACCAAACTAAATATTTACAACAACAAAAATAAGAGTAATAGGTTGCCTTCATTCACTGTCTCTAATAGTCTTTAAAAAGTATAGGCTGTAAAATTTATATTTAAATATAACAGTGATTATCATTATTACATTCAGGGCCGGTTCTAGGAATTTTTCAGAGTTAAGCGAACACCCGAATCAGCGCCACTTAGAATCCCCCCCCCTAAACCCATGAACATAACTTAACCGTATTTGTGAATTTTTTCCCAATAATTTTGAGAAGATTTTTTTTTATAAGTTTATGTAGAAGAATACTAACTTGCAATAAAAGGCTGTTTATTATTCGCATAAATGTGACATTTATACACTTTTACTCATCATATAAACTATAGCAAAACCAAGAACACACTAAAAAAAACAGGCCGTAATGTAATGCTCGTCAAGCATGACGTCACGATAGAAGACGGCAATGACGTAATGTTTGCCGTTTGTGATCAGCTGCTTGTTTTAATCTTTCCTTGGAAAATAAATAAATAAATACCTACGTCATTGCCGTCTTCTATCGTGACTTCTATGGGCTGACTGGACTCGCCACCAGATGATTTCTACAAAAGTCTACTCATTGATTTGGCTTTTTTTCTTCCTCTTCCAAATGGGCCTTACGCTTTCTATGATAAGTGCCAGACGGTTTCATTTTTTCTGCCATTGTTTTCATAGTTTCGACTCGCAATATGTTTTACTCATTCATTCAGTTTATACTTTATTTTTATTTAATGCGCTAATTATAAATTAAACTTAAAACACTCGTAATAATTCGCTTATCAACAATCATGAATCATCAAAACAATGCCAATACGATACCGATACGGTATAGGCCTACGCACGATTACTAGAAAAATACCGGTATGGATCATAAACATAAACAAATGACGTTTTTGGCCCGAAAATAAACATTATTTAACATTGCTTAAATGGAACTGCCAAAACATATGTTCAATGCTATTAGTATAGGATTCGGGCCAACAACGTCATTTGTTTATGTTTATGATCCATATCGGTATTTTTCTAGTAGTAATCGTGGGCCTACGTGTACAACTAAAAGAGTGCAATACAACGTAGTGCTCTGCTCTAGGATCAGAGGCAGAAAGGAGTGAAAGAAAGGGGAAGTTTATTGTTGTGACAAGTGGCGCTGCGCGCTTGCTTATCTGGAGCATGAGTGATTCGTGAAATGAAACCCATAGGTGCCGCGCTGGCGCTGACGCTGCCGACTGCCGAGCGTCAGCTCAGTTCAAATCGAAACTGCAAATGGCATTGAGTCCTTGAGTTGTAGTGCTGTACAAATATACAAAATTTTCAAGTGCTGTTGGTACAAACAGAATAAATGCCTTTATTGTGGTGCTTTGAATACTTGAACTTTGAGCAAAAATAAACAAAATTACGTTGTTCACGTAGAAAAAATGTTCAGTCGGCGCCACGGCGCCACTTTTTCGTGGCGCCATATGCGGCCGCGTAGTTCGCGTATGGGTTAAACCGGCCCTGATTACATTACAAACCACATGAGAACACTGTTAAATTCTTACTAATATTTACTAAAATCATCCTCAAGGTTTTCACATCTAACATTGGCCTACAGTCTAAAAATGACCCAGTGGTAAATTTATGGCGAGGTAAGGAGCAGCTATAAGGGGAGGAGGCTGCAATAAAAAAATTAATATTGTCAATGTAACATATAATTAATAGCCTAAACAAAATGATAAACAATTCTTAAAAATATATTACCTTACTTAAGATAAAATGACCCAGTGGTAAAAATTATGGCGAGGTAAAGAGCAGCTATAAGGGGAGGAGGAGGCTGCAATAAAAAAAATAAATAGTCAATGTAACATTCAATGTAAAGTCTAAAGAAAAAGAAAAAAAATGACCCAGTGGTAAAATTATGGTGCCAAATTTGAAATATTTTTTTTTATCTGAAAAATCGGTAGCACAGTAAGGTGCAGGCCTAACTTCTACCACATACAGAAACCATCATAAGCATTGAATGGGTTCTACCTGTTATAGAACCCATCATAATCATGGTATGGGAATGCAATTTATTTCACAGGTAGCTTATGACATTATGATCATACCACATAAGATTCATCAATATGGTGTAAACGGTTTTTGAGATATAAGTTTTTAACTAATTCGTCAAATAAGTATAGCATAGAAATGAACTAGCCCAACTTCTACCTCTTATACAAACCACCATAACCATGGTATGGGAATGCAATTTATTTCACAGGTAGCTTAAAACATTATGATCATACTATATAAAATTTATCAAAATTGTGTAAACGTATATCGAGATACAAATTTTTTAATGAATGGTTAAATCAGTAGCCTAGACACGAACAGGCACAAATTCTACCTCTTATGGAAACCATCATAACAATGGTATGGAATTGCAATTTATTTCACAGGTAGCTTAAAACATTATCATCATACTATATAAAATATTAAAATTGTGTAAACGTATATCGAGATACATATTTTTACTGAATGGGTAAATCAGTAGCCTAGAAACGAACAGGCACAACTTCTATCTCTTATGGAAACCATCATAACCATGGTATGGGATTGCAATTTATTTCTCAGGTAGCTTAAAACATGATGATCATACTACATAAAAATCATTAAAATCGTTTAAACGATTTTAGAGATATACATTTTTAACTACATCGGCAGATCAGTTGCCTTGAAATGAACAGGCACAACTTCTACCACTTATAGATTCCATCATAAGCATGGTATGGAAATGCAATTTATTTCTCAGTTAGCTTAAGACATTATGATCATACTACATAAAAATCATTAAAATCTTGTAAACGGTTTTCGAGATATACATTTTTAACTATATCGGCCAATCAGTAACCTAGGAATGAACAGGCCCAACTTCTACCTCTTATAGAAACCGTCATAAGAATGGTATGGGAATGCAATTTATTTCATAGGTAGCTTTAGTCATTATAATCATACTATGTAAAAATTATCAAAATTGTGTAAAAGATTTAGTATATATAATATTTTAACTAAATCGGCAAATCAGTAACCTAGGAATTAACAGGCCAAAATTCTACCTCTTATAGAAACCATCATAACCATGGTATGGGAATGCAATTAATTTCACATGTAGCGTAAGAAATTATGATCATACTATATAAAAATTATTAAAATCGTGTAAACGATTTTTGAGATATATAATATTTTTACTTAATCGGCAAGTCAGTAGCCTAGGTATGAACACGCCCAACTTCTACCTCTTATAGAAACCATCATAACCACGGTATGGGGATGCAAATTATGTCTCAGGTACCTTAAGACATTATGATCATACTACATAAAAAATAATTAAAATCGTTTAAACGATTTTTGAGATATACAATTTTAACTGAATCTGTAAGTCAGTAGCCTAGAAATGAACAGGCCCAACTTCTACCTCTTATAGAAACCATCATAAGCATGGTATGGGAATGCAATTTATTTATGAGTTAGCTTAAGACATTATGATCATACTACATACAAATCAATAAAGTCGTGTAAACGATTTTTGAGATATACATTTTTAACTGAATCGGCAAGTCAGTAGCCTAGAAATGAACAGGTCCAAATTCTGCATCTTATAGATTCCATCATAACCATGGTATGGGAATGCAGTTTATTTCTCATGTAGCTTAAGTATTTATAATCATACTACATAAAAATCATCAAAATCGTATAAACCGTTTTTGAAGAATATTGTTTTTACTAGCTTAGGTTTATACTATCTTTGCACGTGGGAGTACATTGCGTGATACAATTAATGGTATAGAAACAAGTATTATTAGTGGTTATTAGACTTTATTAATCACCTCAGTTACATAAAAATTGTATTTTTGTACAAAAAACACTCTGAAAATGCTTAAAAGTCATATGTTTTAAATTTTATAGTGAAAAATACATTTTGAGGTTAGGAAGTTTTTCAGCCACGGCCTTCTTCATCTACTGATTAGAGATGGGCTAAATGAGTACATCGAAATACTGATTACTACCGGTACTGGTACTCTCGAGTATCAGTTACTTTTGATGATTACTTTGTACTCATGAGTACTCATCACGGTCGACGGGATTTTGTACCCGTAGAGTGTTCCTGTATCAGTATAATACCAAATACCATTAGTGGATACCACTGGTAGTACTCAGTTCCTTTACAAAATGATTACTATGTGTTCTTAAGCAGTTTATTCATTTATAGTGATCAGTGAAAGCAGTTTTCATATATGTGGAATTTGCTATTACTAACAAATGATTATGGTATTTTCAGCTATAATACTCAGTTAAGTTTAAACGAGTAGGCTACTACTAAACTGATACCCGAGACGAGTCCTGGTACTGGATTGAAGGCTTAGCAGTACCAGTACTCAATAGTAGAAACGAGTACTCCAGTATCAGATACTTTTGGTTTTGAGTAACAGTTACACACGGGACTGGCGAGTATCCGATACAAAGTATCAGATACTGCAGTCCCGACTCACCTCTACTACTGATCTGACGCTGACGTCATAGCTTAATGTTGGTTTATTGGCAGTTTTACATCCATGCTACTGTAGGCCTATTCTGTTCAAAAATGATGCCAGTATTTAAGCAGCAATGAGCCATGTTGCGGCACACACGTTCGAACTACTCAGAGCTATAAGTTTAACGCAAAAATAAACTTGACCAATGTGCCTACTGTAACATAAAATGATGATTTCTACAGAAAACTTTGAAAGGTAGGTCTGTGCTTTTAGTATTTAAGTTAGGCCTATTTTTAGGCTCAGCATAAGTTAGGCTAGGCTACTTACCATCATGAGACACCCAGTGTGGCTTTAGGACTTTCATTTTGTTACGTGTTAGTAAAATTTATATTGATGTAGGCCTATTCTAAAACAGCAGCCTATGATGACTGAATTAAAATTGGCATTATAGGCCTAGGCCTAATTGAAAACTGAACCAAACTGAGTAGGAGACGGAGACCTAGCCTATTAAAAAAAATCAATCAATGATTTTATTATTACAAGTTAATCTTAATTTTAACATTAGAATGTCTAAACTCAAACCACCTTTTACTGTAAGTAAATAAATAAACAAACAGGCCTTAAATTGAGTTACTCGGACGACAGCAATCTCCGCGCCGATGCCGGTCTCGCACTCTCCACTCCCTCCACTCCACTGTCCACTCTGACTCTCGCTGCTCGCACCAGTCAGTCGCTGAGTCGCAGCGCATCAATTCACATCGCAATCGAAAACTAAGTGAGAGTGAGACTAGATTGAGATTGTCTAACTAGAAAGAAAAAATAATTAAAAATTTAAAAAATTAAAATAATTTTAAATATTAAGCAGACAAAAAAATATACAAGATGAGAACCTTTCTCATAGTACCTATTGTGACAGTAAAACGGTTTAAAGTTTCTGACAAGGAAATGTTTTTTGTATAGGTCCACTAATAACGTCATAACATAACTGTGTTAAATTTAAATTTATTAAGGCAGGGGCCATGCGCAAATGGTAAACTAGTTTCTTATACAACAAAATAATTCTACAATTTGGTCCATCATCCATGGATGGGATGGGAGATGGGATGACACAAGGCCGCACTAGATATACGATTACAAAGCTGGCCGTGGATGACTACTTGACTACCACCATTGACTTTATATCTCATATAAAGTCAATGCTACCACTGACTACTTCAGTTTCAGATATTCCAATCCAATTCCAAACGTCAATAGAGGACTGACTCGCTGGACTGGGTAGATCTGCAGCAGACAGCTGAGCTACATTAGCTACAGCGCTACAGCTGAATTAAGAAAATAGAGGTTAGATATCCGGAATTTACACAACAACAACAAGTATAAGTAAGTAATCATTCTATTTTTGGAAAGTTAAAAGTTTGCTTATCGACTCCTTTAGCTCCACTTGGCACTTCCTCGTTTTTTGTTCGTGGACTTTGACAGCTGTTGTTTTTCTGCTCAATCGAATTTCTTTCGATTCGAGGGTTACAATTATTTTACAAAATCGTGTTCGCCGTTAAAGGGTACAGTACGGGTGTGCGAAACAAAAGTTTGTTGGTAAGTTTAATATAATATAAGTTAGTAACTTTATTTACCTACCCATTTTCAATTACTTACCGTTCCAATGCTATAATATTTGAAATTCCTCCATACATATTGTTCCTAACAACAAATGATTTGATTTTCAGATTCTAACTTTAAGAAATGGGCCCTATAAATAATAACCTATGCCTAAGGTCTAGTAACTGTTAACTTACTTTAACCCTTTTGATGCTAGAATATTTTTTTGTGATTTTCCGAAAAATGCTATAGGCCTAGATTTATTTAGGCCTACTTATTTCGTCCTAAACGTGCTAGGCTTGCCACGGGGGCAGAGTCTAGATTATGAGAAAAAAATCAGTAAGTTAAGGCCTAAATAAAAATTTTCATCTCATAAGTGCTAACTTAAGGAACGATATATTGGGCCTCGGTCGTATGAGGAATTGAAAGAAACCATCGCTGTTTCAAAACAACAACCGATAAACCCCCCATTTAAACTTACACAAATCAAAAGTGGCGCCGGGACAATATATTGTCGCTTAACTTAGCGCTTTTCGGATGAAATGCGAACAACGATATATGGTAATTCTGAGCAATTACGTACTTATTTGGTCAACCCCAAACTTTTTCACATTTTACTACGGTCATTAGGATGTTCTCAGAAAACAAGAAACATATCGTTCAAGCCACGCAAGCCCATCGTATAGGTTGCCGAGCGATAAGAAGGTTCAAAGTCCAAGCGATAACAGTGGCTGGCGGGAGACTCACAGAAGGCGGGTACACTTCCATATATGTTGCCACAAACAACCGAATGAAAATATCAATCGATATATCGAGTATTTGATATATCGTTTTGTTAGTTAGGTAAGGTTAACCTAACCTAACTAACCAAACGATATATCGAATTAAAAAATCTAATACTCAATGTTAATCATTGAGTTGTTTGTGCCAACAGATATGGAAGTGTACCCCAGAAGGCCAGTTGTGACATTGTAAAATTCATCATTGCAAGTATGTAACTTAGCTGCACGATATCCAAAAGCATGTACAACATGTATCTTGTGGCATGTATCACAATGTATAAAATCTATTGTAAAAATTTTGCAATAAAATAAATAAGAAAAAAGTTTGCTGTCAAAATAAATAAATAGGCAATAGTGTGTTCCATATTATTTTTAGGCTACCTACTCAAAGAGGGTTATTAAGGTATTTTACTGCACAAAGCTTAACTTAAAGGCATGTGGGTACTTTTCCGTATCTGTTGTCAAAACCAACCGAATGAAAAATTATTCGATATATCAATTATCTCATTCTATATACCGTTTGGTTAGTTTGGATAGGTTAACCTAACTAACCAAACGATATCGATTGAAACAATCGATCACCTATCGATCGATATTTTCATTCGGTTGTTTTTTACAACAGATACGGAAGTCTACCCAGGCTTATTTATAGGTCTATCTTAATTAAAAGGATTTCTTAATCAATAGCCATATTGATGTTTTTGCAGAATTATTTGTGGAAAACAGAAGGAAATATGACAACCTTGCGCCATTGTTTGAGGTTCTTGAGTATTCCCAGGTCAAGAACATTTTCCTCCGCTCCTGACTCTCTGGCTAAAGTTGATGTCAACTTAAAAACTGGTAAGATACACATTAACATCCTTAAACTAAAACTGTCCAAAATAACTAAGAACTATTTAACATTATTAGTTTGTATGTCAGAGGCAAAATTTGTGCAATCAAGTACATTTTGAAACTGAATGTTTATTCTTCTTTTGTCGTGTAATAGGCCTATTTAGTATTTTACGAAGCAAGCTAGGCCTATCAGTGTCACTCATCTCTAAAGATTTGTTAACCTAATTAGCTAGGTACAAATCTGAGGTAACTTAACTTAAACTTAAATGATTATGCTCAGAAACACTTGAGTTCAGTGATGTCGATGTCTTCACTTATTCATAGAATATTTGTCTAACCTTATAAATTATTATGATCAAAATATAGTACCGTACGTAAGTAATACAGTAGACTCCCTCTTATCCGGACTCCTCAGGACTGAGGCCAGTCTGGATAACGGGTTTTCCAGTTAAACCAACGTCCCCAAAAACTCGTTAAAACGGACCGTTTACTGTGATATTCGACTTAATTTAGGAGAGCCTTGTATTTAGACACTGACTGGTGTCAAATCTTTCCCACGAAAACAGTTGTTTCAGAACCACCCACTTCCTGCCGATTTAATCCGGTTAAACCAATGTGCTGATAAAATTGTCCGGTTAAAGAGATGTCATTTCTGCCGAGTGTAGTTCGGTTAAACCGATGTCCGGTTAAAAGGTGTCCGGATCAGAGGGAGTCTATTGTATAGTTTTATTTAAGTTAAGCGAATTCTTGTCTTCTCATATTGCAACTAAAGAGTTGGTAGGCTTAATGTTGGCTTTGATTTTATAGGCGTAGCTGTGGTCAGCATGCAGAGATTACCTGTCAATAGTCTCAATCTTGAACTCCTAGAGGCTTTGGGTAGAACGTTCGATGAGCTAGAGAAGAACAAGTGCCGAGGCATGATTCTTACTTCTGTAAGTATTCATGTTTCTATTTATTTATTAGGAGTGACTTCGAGGTTGTAGGACGTTACGACCGAATGTTATCAACAGAGAGTCATAAAAATGTTAGGTACAGTACGCGCAAGCAGTCTGGGCGTGCAGTTCCTTCTATACTAGCTGTCCTGTATACATTTAACCCACCCCCTCCACATCGCCTTCGGAGACAGCTGAACAATCCCAGAGCCGTGTGGGCCAGATGTTTTTGGAAATGAGCAACAAACACTCCCCCCTTCACCCTGGGCCCAAGTGTGGCCCCGGACTAAACGCGACTACTGTACATCAAGGGCTAGGTTTTAAAAATGAATCCAAGCAGCAAGCCGATGTAGTGTATTTATGGATATCAAAAAGTGAATAGGGTCTACATTAAAAGCTTAAAACAAATGTTTCACCTGATGAATTAAACAAACGAGAGGATTGGATGAAAATTGTTAAATTTAATGTAGGCCTACCTACATTGAAAAATAATTAGTTTGTTCTGTCTGGCATATCTGGAAACTTAATTGGACTTTTGATTGGATCTTTAGTAGGCCAACATTGTTTGATTAGGAAGAGACTAATTATTGTCTCTGTACGACTGTAAGTCTTAAGAATGTTCCACGAAGAGGTTGCTAATGCTAATAAATAAACCAGACTTATCAATCATGCTACAAACTTGAATCTCTACAGTTATAATAAATACATACGGTATGTTAAAAAAATACCCACTAGTCTTATTCAATTCTGAGTAATCAGAACAAAATGGCGTAGAAACAAAATTAGAAAAAGTTGTACTCAATTTATGGCCCTAGTTTAAACGAAGATGAATCAAATTAAATAATGACATCAATGATTTACCACTATTATCTCTCTAATTGCATAAATTTTATTTTCTTGATTAACTTTGTGTAAAATCAAGAATTACCTATTCAAAAATGGTTTGGTAAATAACATTATTTAATAGAAAACGCACCATTATTTTTTGTTTTGTCGATTTCTTCTGATTAGTCATGACTCGAGGGTGTTCTTTTACATGTTTGTTGCAGCTGCAAAGTTTCAAGTTTCTAGTGTGTTTCAATGATTGTTGTGTCTGATATATTAATGCAAAACATATATTTAGAACCTTATACTGTTTATTATATAGAGTCTAAAGTCAGTCTAACGTACCTCGTATTGCAGGAGTCACCGACGGTGTTCAGTGCTGGTCTGGACATCATGGAAATGTACAAGCCCGACCCTGCGAGAGTGAAGCAGTTCTGGACAACTCTACAGAATACGTGGATGAAACTCTACGGCTCGTCGTTCCCTACGGTCGCTGCTATCAATGTAAGATTTTGGAATGGTTCATTTATTGCTGGTTTAAGATATAGACCTTAAGTTGTCACTTTTTTTCTTGAATAAAAACCCTTAACAATACAGTGTCATAATGTGGGTTTACTTTTAAAACCAGGGCCTACTGCCGAAATACCTGATTTTGGTGCAAGGTGACTTTTTCACTAAAAATGTTATTGTTGTTACCCAGAATGATGTACTAAACTCCTTGATTTTGTCATGATCAAAATTTAAAAAATGGTTGGCAGTCTTTTTAGTAGCAAAACATAGGTATACATTTACACCAAAGCTACAAAGCTTTGGTTTTTATTTTGGATACTCAATCGGTGGTTGGAGTATTATTTTCTTAATTATATCATAGGCCTAAACAAAATTTGCTCTAAACACAAAGGATGTATTTTTTTTGTTACCCACGGTTGAAGTATAGGCTAGAGCTCTGACTTAGTGAGTGCAGTGTAATGTTTGACGTTTACATGCAAGTTTGCACTTGTGTTTTCTTTGTTACTGTATTTAGTAAATTTTAGAATGACGGACCAAAGTGTACATAAACCTACCATTCATTTGACGATAAATATTCATAAACTATCATTTTAACTTTGAATGACAGCCAAAGTGTGCTGTGTAAGATTTTTAAGGCCATGTTAAAAACATTAGGGAACTAAAAAAAAAAAAATCCATACACATTTGAAATGGCTAAAAAACAAAAATCCTAAAATAATAGAATCATGGGATGGATCCCGGGATAGCCTAGACAAATCCCAAAATCCATGGGTTAGATAAAGCCTCGGGAATGAGACTCCTATGGCAGACTAACCTAGTTTCTTAAATAATTAAAATCTAAAGCCATACATTATAGGTGTTCTCTATGTTCCTGTGTTAACCTATTTTCAACCAGTGAATGATTGCTTGTGCAGGGCCAAAGTCCAGCTGGAGGTTGTTTATTGGCTCTCAGCTGTGAGTACAGAGTCATGGTTGGCGGCAAAAATGTCATCGGACTTAACGAGACCAAGTTGGGCATCATCGCACCCAAGTGGTGAGTTTTATTGTACACTTGCGCTTTTAGCGGAATTTGACTTGAGGTTTGGTTGATCTTGGACTTTTTCTAACAGGATGAACAAAGCGTAATTAATGAGGTCAGCGTAGCATTGTGTTGTTGTGATGAAAATTTGTTTATGAATATTTGTGGGCTGAAAATCTACTGTGGTCCTCTTTGTCCTCTTTGACCTAAAAGGCCAGCTAAATACATTACATGGATTAGGGTATTTCATTTACCCGTTTTGTATAGAACTATCATTGATGTTTTTTATTTTTTAGCGAATTTCCCTATAGGGAAGTAGCTATTACCGTAGGTGGCACGGTAAGACCTAGACCCGGGACCGATTTACTTTTTCATTTTGATGTCCCCAGAGGCCAAAAACACTATTCGTTCAAATTGGTATATATATTTATATATATATATATAGACTTATATATATATATACGTCCGTGAACGTGTAATTTTTGTCCGATTTTGATGAAATTTGGTTTAAAGGTGTAAAGCGGGATAAACTTGAATGAGTTCGCGAACCAGCACGATCGGACCATGGGAACGGGGCTTTATGGGGGGTTTTATGGGGTAAAAATTGGGTTTTCTCACTTTAGACCCTCAAAACACAAAATTTCCCAATTTCTCTTTAGACCTTTTTAAAGAGCTTAAAAAAACAAATAATTTAGTATATAAAAGTATTTTTGTTCGATTATTAGTAACGGAGAAAATTAAAAAAATTGTAAATTTAAAATTCCCATGCTATTCTTATGGAGAATGTTGTCAAATGTTGTAGTTTGCTTGTTTATGAATATATTTTGATCAAACTTGGCAAATTTATTTATTTTGTACTAAGCTATCAATATTTTACTCAAAAACACACTTTATTAGTTTCGTTGTAGCAGCAAACCTAGGTACTCGTTAAACCTAATGTTATTAAAATATATTTAACTGAAAATCAATTCAGACAAATGGAAATTCGCTTAGTCGGCAGGTTTGCTGCGGCGGGGGTATTTTTCTTATTTCATTGTGCTAAAAAAGGAAGGGTACACTAACTCAACTGAAGAAAAAATCACAGAAAATTATAAGTACACAAAAAAGAAACATTTAAACTGGTATTTCACCCCTTTCAGGGGCTTCTTTAGAGGTTAAATGGCAGTTACAGTTTTAGCACTGTTTTCTTTAATTCAAATGTGTTTTTTTGTGTAGCCTACTTTTAGTCTACTATCCTGAGACTCTTTTTTCAGGCAAGTTAGTTGTGTTCCTTTTCTTCTTTAAAAAGTTCTTATGCCAAGTTGGTTATTTCCCTTCAATTTACATAATTTTCTATAGTACGACTTCACCATGTTTTAACAAGGCTGGAATTGGGAAGTTGGGTATTATTCTTTACACATACCTTAGTGTGTCATCTAATGCCTCGGGTGTGTCACAGGTTCATGGACTGCATGCGTAACGTAATAGGAGAGCGACAGGCGGAGCTGGCTCTGACCTTGGGTAAGCTGTTCCCAGCAGACGACGCACTCAAGGTGGGGCTGGTGGACGAACTAGCAACAGATAAAGCAGACGCTCTAGCCAAGGCGGAACAGTTCTTGGCATCTTTTGCTAAAGTGCCAGGTAATGAAATGTCGTTTAAAAAGTAAACTGATGTAATTTGTGTTGCATGCTAATTCAACATTGCTAATTTTACTAATAGGCTGGAAAATAGAGAACTGGGCATCTTATACCTTATTGGGGGCCATAAATCTTACAAACCCTGCTATTGGGCTTTCTAGTAGCCTTAGTGTGAACTCTGTTGAGGGGCAATTATAAAGGACCATCTGGCCGTTGCTCTGGTGAACAATACCCGGCTTAGGACACAGCCCGTTCCTTAAGTTTGTGCACAGAGAAGTAAGATACAGTGGATACAAGCTTATGGGCCAACAGTGCGCTTCTAGCTCTGGTATGGTGGAGCAGAAATGTATTTGTACCGAAGGAAGAGCCCGAACGGCTATGGCCACATAGCATTTTTGTACAGCAGTTGTAGCGCACAGGGTCTTCCTACAGCTTCAGCACTGTACTATGTGATGGCGAGGGGGGAAGGAGAGCGGAAGGGGACGACGATAACTTCAGTAGTTTTTGTCCAATTTTGATGAAATTTGGTTTGAAGGTGTAAGGCAGGATAAACTTGAATAAGTTCGGAAACCAGCATGATCGGACCATGGGAACAGGGTTTTACGGGGGGTTTTATGGGGTAAAAATAGGGTTTTCTCATTTTTGATCCTCAAAACACAAAATTTCCCAATTTCTCTCTAGACAATTTTAAAGAACTTAAAAAAAAACAAATAATTTAGTAGCCAAATTGTTTTTGTACAATTATTGGTTACGGAGAAAATTTGAAAAAATGCAAATTGAAAATCCCCATCCTTATGGAGAATATTGTTAAATGTTGTAGTTTGCATGTTTAAGGAAATATTTTGATCAAACTTGGCAAATGTATTCATTTTATACTAAGCTACCAATATTTTACTAAAAAAACACACTTTATTAGCCTCCTTGTATCAGCAAACCTAGGTACTCGGTAAACCTAATGTTATTTAAATAGATTTAATTTAAAATCAATTCAGGCAAATGGAAATTCGCTTAGTCTGCAGGTTTGCTGCGTCAGGGTTATTTAATTAAACAATAGCGACAGCTGGTCCATACAGGTGGGATGTTTACTTCAGTATACAAAAGTCTGTGGTTTTACTAACCCTGTGTATTGTTGCTGGTAGTGTGGCGAAAAGTATCTTACGCTACTCGCTCAGGGTGTTGTTAGTTGTACTCCCATGAAATCTATCATGCTTGTACTGTAAACACTTCCCAGTCTTCTACCGTAATTTACTGTTACCAGAAAGTTAATAATAATAATGAAATGTTTATTGTTGCAGCAATGGCAAGAGCGTACACCAAACAGGGTTACAGGAATGAGACAATTGATTGGCTAAGAAAGAACCAAGAAAAAGATCTACAGACGTTTTTGAACTACGTTAACCAACCACAAGTCCAGCAGGGATTGGAAATGTACCTCCAGAGTTTGAAGAAGAAATAGAGGATGAATTGAAATTATATTGTCTAAGCACAGGGTAGGTATATTGTTTTCATTAAAAAATATTATTCGGACCTTATGACTTTTCAGGATAAGAATTTAAATTTGAAACAAAATCCAACATTGTACAAATGTTTTATTTTTGTATGAGATTTACATTATTTTTGTTAACGTAGACAAAAATCGGTGGTCAACAAAACCCACAGTAATCTAAAAGCTGTTTTAAACAGAGCTGACTTGATTTTTCATTTTTTATATTTATATACCGACTTTTTTAACTTTTTTAGACACATTTTAGAGATCCTAAGTACTCATTGAGCCATTGCTAATTATAAAATGGTGGGTTTGGATATAACTGTAGATTGCCGTTTGTTATGATTCTATTTTGCATAAAAGCTCAAAAAGAAATAGGAACTTTGTTTAGTATGCAAGTTTTCTGTTACTTAATTATTATTTTTTTAATGTTAAATGTACTGTTGTACAAATTTTTACTTGATTTTGTATTTTGTTGTGTACCTAGTTGTCGTGTACCGGTACCATTTATCTGTTGTGTCTATTCAATATTTTATGTAAACACTTTTCTCTACTTTTAGTATTAGTATTATATTGCTAATTTTTTTATGCTATAACCCTAATAAGCATAAGACTGTTGTTGAAATATTGAGATTTATATTTTATACTATTTGAAAGTTGTAATAAAACATGTCATAAATTATAAGTGTGTACTTTATTCAGTTGTCTTCCTAATGGGTGGATAATAGAATTTATTCTATAACTAGCTGTGTGCCCGTTCTACGCACGGGGATCTTATAGTAGTCAGTTGAAACCTTCTTATATTAAGATTAAGAACAGCAATTAGTTTGCATATTTGTAGATATGCTGGCAAAACTATTATATATAAACCTCCGCAAATACAGTATCTGACAGTTCAAGCCAAAATAAATGCTTCGCAATTAAATGTCACCCGGATCGTGTTGGTCCATGTGTCCAATGATTAAACTAAAAAATGTTTTATAGGCCTATAATTGAAAGTTACTTTCCACATCGGTTAACTTAAACGTATTTAAAGTACTACCTCGACCTCACCAATTAACACTTTATTCCGGTTGACATTTTCAGTATCAAAGGTGCTCTTGTCCATTCCGTGAAACACTGAGAAATAAGGACATTAATGCGTTACCAACATACAACAAAACAACACAATACAACAATCCAACAAAGGCCACGAACTATTGATACATAAACAATATAAAGGCGTAAACAATTCATGATGGTTTGCCCAACAAATGTTTTACTCAAATAGGTTATCATTTTCTTAGCATACCGGGTAAGCTAAGATTTGGAATCCAGACAGAAAAAGCAAAACTATACAGAGTTAAGACATCACTTAAATTGAATACGGACGGCTCTAATAAATAAGGTGCAACACCAACGATATCAAATTTGTAAACTACCGGTTCTAAGGAAAAGAACCAGTACCTACGTAAGAACTTACCTAAGAACTATAGTAAATCGGACCAATTAAATACATTAATATCTAGTCCCGAGGTTATTGATCGCTTGCTTTTGGATTTTCTCGTAAAAAGTTATAGCGTAAACTTATCGGTGTCAGTTTGAAAAAAAAAACAACCTTACCCAAACAACTTTTTGTTATTTAATAGATTACGCATTCTCTAAACAATGATTAGTATATCTATTAACATTAGAAGGAAATGTGACGAAAATCACACAATGTTGGGGTTTTGGTCATTTGTAATTTTATTTTTTAAGTAGGTAGGCCATGTATTCTATGGAAAAATAACCGGTATCAAGGATTGTCGTCAAAAAGGTTGTTATGAATAAATATGTAGGCTTACGTACCCAAGATATGAGCTATGGGCCTATTGGCTCCAGCGATTGCATCACACGGTGAGTAGAAACAGAAAGTGACACATTAGAAAAGCGAGTTTAGTACTTCCTCTGTTAAACCTCTGTTACAATCACCCAATGCAGTTGTGATTTTTTACTTTACACTTTACACAACCGCCATTGAAGCGCAGTCAATGAGTGGAAACCTTTTTTGTAAGCTATTGGCGACGATCATTTCAGTGTCACAGCCCTATACAACACTGATTCATGGTCTTCTTCTTTCTGGTTGTCAAAACTCAAGAAACATTTTATACTCAAAGAATTTCTGGTTCCGATTTGGACGATGTCTAGTTATTTAATTTCATTTACGGTTACACTATTAGACTATATTATTGCACTTGCGATTAATTAAATCCGTTATGTAAGAAAAACGTTTTTAATCTCACTTGGTTGGGATTTGCTTTCAAAACGTGATTCGAAATAGTTGTGGTATTTGTAAACAACATTTGTAAACATGTCATTGACAGCTAGAAAAAATAATCTTGATCCGAACAGCTGTTCGTTATTTCATAGACGATTATGTGATAAAAATTGAACGAAATTTTGACAAAAATCGCACAAAACTGCATTTTTGAACGTCCGTAATTTTATTTACAAAGTAGTGAGGCTATATTTAAATCACTAAAGACACTCTCGCCAATCCAGTGAATACATTAAAATGACTTGAATCTTGATATGTACTCTGGTTTTCACGGAGAAGATTGCGTAAAATGCCATCTTGAGTGTTACAGACAAAGGGACAGACAGACAGACAGAAATTGAGATAAGGCTCGTTTCTGCTTCTTTAATGTATAAAACTTAAAAATAACCTAAAAGTATATAATTCTGAGCAATGTACAGACAAAACTCTAATTTTATTTATATAGATGTTCTTCTAGTGTATTAGTTAAGTTAAGTTATTCAGTACTAGCATAGACAAATAGAACAAATATCAGTCAGCTGTGCCGTGGTTAGCATAAGTTCTGGCATCCAACGCTAGGTTTGCCGTGTAGTTACGGCGCACACCGCTGCAGCATCTGCTGGTTGCATACGGCTCCTGCGCTCCTCGCCTGCAGCGGTGTGCGCCGTAACTACATGACACTCCTAGCGGTGGGCGCCGGAACCTTCCTTTGGCAGTCTATATTTGTTCTATTTGTCTATGGTACTAGGTACTGAATAACTTCAAGTACTAGGTGAATTTTACAGTTACGATCTGTAGTCTAGTATTGAGCTCTGTGGTTTAAAATTAATAAAAATCCCTCTGAGCAGAGAATAATATATAGTGCTTGTACGAGGGATTGTGGACTGATTTCCCTTGAAATCTCCAAGAATGCATATGGGTTTTGGACCAATTTCCCCTGAAAATCCCCAAAAATGCATAAGTATCAATTTCCTGGGGTGATGAGGGGGTTTTGGACCAGTTTCCCTTATTCTAGAATGATTCAAAGGGCTCGGTCGGCGATTTTTGTTTATTTCAAAATGCTTCAATTTAAGGTAGTAGCTATTTATAATATTTAGTGCAGTTGATTTATAGACATAGACATAGACATATTTTATTTGCACATAACATTCTTTACATGTGTTACATACAGAATAGGTGCATTGTCAGAGTTCGAATTGTCAGAATATAAAAAATAAAATAGTAATCAAGATGATAATATAAATTAACAAGATTGCATGATAAAACTATTCTAAACTAAAGGGGCATTGTGAAAATCTGCAATTAAATAAAAGGCTCTGTCAATTAAGAGTTCACCTATTTTATCTTTAAAATTATTTTCATTTAGCAATTTATAGTTTGCAGGCAGCACATTGTACAGCCTCAGCCCAGCATATAGTGGACTTTTTTCATAAAGGGTCAAATGGTGCCTTGGAAATCTAAAAATGTTTTCATTTCGAGTATTATATCTATGGTTGATTTGAATTGATTCTGGGAGGTCGTTTTTAGCTGAATGAATGTAGTTTAGTGATTCCAAGATGTACAGTCCTGTTAGGGTGTGGATTTTTAAATTTCGAAAAAGGTTTTTGCATGAACTACGTGGATGAGAGCTGGTCATAATACGGATAATGCGTTTTTGTAGCCTGAATATTGATTTGACTCCGGTAGCCTGACCCCATAAGATTATACCATACCTCAATACTGATTCTACATAAGCATGATAAACCATTTTCAGAGTTTCTTTAGGAACACAGTCCCTTAAGTGCAGAAATACAATTGACATGGATCTAAGTTTACTTTTTAATTGATTCAGATGTACATCCCATTTAAGTGATTCATCTATGTAAACACCTAGAAATTTATGAGACGTTGCCAATTTAAGGGATTCAATTTTATTACCATTGTTTCTGACAGAAAATTTTATTGTTTGCGTTTTTTCAAGATTAAGTTTTAATCCATTGTTCAAGAACCAACCTTCCATGTCATGAACCACATTTTCAAGAGAAGATAGCATTTCAGAAGTACTATTATTTTTTATCAAGGCTGTTGTATCATCTGCAAAAAGAATTAGTTCCTGATCAATAGCTTTAGGGAGGTCATTAATGTAAATTAGAAAGAATAGAGGACCTAAGATTGAACCTTGGGGCACACCTGCCGATAGGTTTTCCCATGGCGAATAGTACTTGATCTTATCCAGTGTTATTACAGTTCTTTGTTTTCTATTAGAAAGGTAAGAACTCAAAAGAGAGTGACAACTTCCCCTAATACCATAATCACTCAGCTTGAGCTGAAGGACTGAGTGATCAACACAGTCAAAAGCTTTGGACAGGTCACAGAAAACACCAGCTGTAGCCTGAGACCCGTCCAAAGCCTGGGTAACCTCATTTATAAACTGTGTTAGTGCAGAACCTGTGCTTAAATTTTTCCTGAATCCAAATTGTTTGTTATAAAATAGATGATTGCTTTCAAAATAACTAACCAATCTCAAATTTATGACCTTCTCAAATATTTTAGAAAAATTACTCAATACAGAAATTGGACGGTAATTGTTAATATCCGATTTTAGGCCCTTTTTAAATATTGGTGAAATTTGGGAAAGTTTTAGTTTATCCGGAAAAATTCCATGTATTAAACACTGGTTAATAATTTGAGATAAAGGTTCAGCAATGATATTAACAGTGGCTTTTATCAATTTAATTGGAATCTCATCCCAGCCAACGGATGATTTGTTTTTTAGTGACAAAACAATCTTTTTGACTTCCTCCACATTAGTTAGCCTGAGGCTGCACAATGATATCCCATTATCATTACAGATATGTTTCACTGAAGCATGGACTCCATTAACAGTAGCCTTTTGAACATTTAAGTTACTTACTGTATTCGAAAAAAAATTGTTAAAAACTTTAGCAATAGTTCCAGGATTACCAAGCTCATAACCATTTGTATCTTTCAAAACTATTCTTTCTTTTGGTTTTTGGTTTGTATTGCCAAGCTCTTGATTTACAATTTGCCAAGCTGCCTTAGTTTTGTTTTCTGATGTTTTTATAAAATTGCTATTCGCTAGTAATTTTGCTTTTTTAACAACTTTGTTAAATATGTTTTTATAATGCTTAACATATGTAATAAACTGTTGGTCATTACTGAGCTTGGCTTGCATGTGCAATTGTCGTTTTGTTTTACTTGAAATTTTTATACCTTGAGTAATCCAGTTTACAGAGAAAGACTTGGTTTTAGAATTATTACTATTATTTTTAAGAAACTTTGGAGGAAATATAGAATTAAAAGTCAAAAGAAAATCACTTAAAAAGTTACTAAAGTTTTCATTTGGGTTCAGGACTGGATCAAATGTAAAATTAATATTTTGGTTTAAATATGTACAAAATTCATCAATTTTTCTATTTGAAATTATTCTTTTGGTATAGGAACTTGTATAACTTGTTGGCTTTGTTGGTAACTTGTTTTGGTATTATTCTTGTTGTTTATAATGGAAAGGTACTCGCAAACAAAATTTATAGACCATAAAACATGGAGCAGATAAACAACTATGTACATTATACAGTTTGTCGAGGAAAGTGGTAGCGGTAAACAGTTTTATAGGCCTATTTCTTCTCTATAAATCTGTTTACAAACTCACAATGAAAACCTTGGCTTACTTTCATTGATAGAATTAGAACCGCCAAATCAACAATTTTAATCGTTTAATTCAATTTATGTGTGTGAAAGCAAAGACTTTTGGATATCAAGTAGACATACTATCTATATGGAATAGCCAATGTTTTACCATTTTATATTAAACATACTCCCGTAGTAGATTTGTCATTCTTATGGATTAGTTAAATAAAATGTTAATGTTAGTTTCGTTTAACGACTCTAAGGGCATATTTTTAGCGAATTTCCCATATAGGGAATAAGCTATTACCGTATCTCTCATGGTAATACCTAGACCCGAGACCGATTAACTTTTTTGTTTTGAGGTCCCCAAGGCCAAAAACACCCTCCGGTCAAATATATGTCTGTTAGCGCGATAACTGATGATCCGATTTTGATGAAAAAATATGGTACAAATGTATAAACCTACGTTTATTCAAACGAGTTCGCGAACCAGCATGATCGGACTATGGGAACAGGGGTTTATGGGGTGAAAATTGATTTTCCCATTTACAGTACTCTAAAAACAAAAAATGTCAGAATTTCTTTCAAAAACATTTTGTAAAGCTCAAAAAAGAGATAATATGGTATATTGGAGCGTTGTTGTATGCCAACCGGTTACGAAGATAATTTAAAATTCCCATGTTATTCTTATGGAGAATAAAATAATCTATTGTAGTTTTCTTGTGTATGGATATGTTCATCAAATTTGGCCATTTTGTTCATTACAAACTAAACTATCAACATTTCAATAAAAATAAAAACTCAATACCTTCCCTGTGGCAGCAAACCTAAGTACTATACTCATAAAAACTAATGTTATTTAAATAGGAAATAAATCTGACAATTTTAAGGGAATATTTTAGTAGAAATCCAGCCAGGTAAATGGAAATCCACTTAGTCTGCAGGTTTGCTGCGGTTAGAAGAATTTTCTTATCATTTCAGTTATTGAATGCTTATTTTTCTGAAGACAAATTAATTTAAGTAGAAAAACGCATGTAAGTTGGAACGTTGACTGACTAATACAAATTAACCACTTTAAAAAAATTTAAATTTGTTAAAGCAAACAAGCTAATTGACGCTTATAAAACTGAAATAAAAAGGATCAAATATAAAAAAATATAGATATAGAGTAGACAAATTACCTGTCGTGGTGAAATAATAAATAACTGTTGGTACGTCTGGTTGTACTATAATATTTATACAAAATGTAATCACGGTTATTTATCGTTATGTGTATTCCTCTGAATTTTACATTTACAATTATAAAACACCATAACTCTTGTAAATTCATGATTGGTTAGACTATTTACTTTCAAAATATAAAACCAATATTATAACTTAAAATGGATAGACACACCCATTAAAAAATATAAAAGACGAACAAGTAGTAAAATCTGGGCAGTTAAAATATCTTGAAAGATAATATTTTGCATGTACTGTACAGTGTGCGTGTGGTAAGTGATAAAGAATCTTAAGTAGAGGTGATTTACTTAATAACTGTAATTTCGTAGGTGCTGTTACACGGAAGTAATAAAAGACTTACAACACTTAACCTGTAAATTTACAAGATGATAAGTATATATAAAATATATCACAATATCGATCAATATCTCCCAGCCATAATCAGACCCAATTGGATCTTACTATTGAATTCATAACACCAGTGAAAAGACAAGTATATTTTGTAGAGTTTGAATTCATCTTTCATTACATTTGTACAATTTACTTGTAGTATTAATGAACATAAGCCCAGAACTTTTCTTACAAATTTAATGGAACAGCAAAACAGGCTATTCTAGAAATAGGAACTTGATGTAAAGAGGTGTTTCTTGCGTAAAAAATAAATCACGCTTTGCCGATTTAACTTCAAAACAAAGTTTGGAAACAAGTCAGTAGTAAACAGGATGTCTCTGTAAACGTCGAATACACAACAGACAAGTAGAAACAAACACACAAGGTCCAATTGCAAATAGCTCTACTTCTTCACGTTGAAACATGTTAACTTGCTACTATTTGTTTAAGATATATTGCAAGGTGGTGTAAAAAAATCAGGCACATAACTGCCTTACTGACTGCCAAAGTATATGAAATGTATCGGAAGAGTCCTTAGTTGAAGAACCTGCAAGTACACTTTTTGATGGATGGTTTCTAAGATATTGGAGTAACTGTATAATATAACTAGGACTTGGTAAGAATTAATTCAGATAACTCAATAGTATATTTTTTAAGAATCAAAATCGGAAGTACTTTCTTCGTACAAAGTTTTGGCGGGCGGAAGTATAGAACGAGAGGGCGGGAAGGTGTACGAAGATACTCTGCGAGATGGTTGACGGTTGAGTGGTGCTCGGAGAGACTGAGAAGTATGGACTGATGTCAAATCTTTGCCTCCAGGAATTACCCATTCTTCCTCAGCTGAACTCACACAGTCTAAAATCTCCCTTTTAACTTTTATTTGGTATGAACGTGGCAATTTGTGTACAGTTTGTGAGATACTGGCAAAAAATAAATCCAGCTCGTCAAAGTTTTTTTTGTGCTCCCTCTGCGTTTCCTTTTCCTCCATGAATTGGATAACATTTCCTGCACCTCTGGCTTTAACTCTCCTTCTCTTCCGCTTAAAACTTGGGCCGGGTTCCGCTGAAGGTTCGGTATGGATATCTTGTTCTTCATAGTCACCATCGTGTTCTCCATCCTCATTTTCTAATGTTTTGTCGCGACTTTTTTCAGATGGAGAAGGGATGTGTAATGGTTGGCTCTACTGACTATTGTCATTTTAGTTTATTATCATGTGTTAATTGTTTTTGTTTACTTGGAGTTGATTGATACTAATAAAATACTTTTACCTAGATTATTCTATCATGATCAATTCTGATTTAATGGGTTTAATACATGGCGCAGTCGGTATTTGCATAGTTTGGGAATTAATATACTGACACTGAAATTTAACTTTTTTACCTATACAAACATATCAACAACTTTTGTGGTATCTACCATTATCAAAAAAGTTTATCATGGCTCATACACAAGTAAGGATGCCTGAACCTTTTTCCTTCCAACCAGCGGAATGGTCACCATGGAAAAAACGTTTCGAAAGATTTAGAACAATTAGTGATTTGGATCAATTATCTGAAGAAAAACAAGTGAGTACACTCATATATGCAATGGGCCCAAAATCAGAAGAAATATTCTCATCCTTCAAAATGACCAACGAAGAAACAAAGTATAAAACAGCCATGGACAAATTTGATGGGCACTTCAATCCAAAGAAGAATATTATTTATGAAAGAGCCAAATTTCTACGTAGAAAACAAGGACTAACAGAAACTGCAGAAGATTTTGTGACAGATTTATATTCTCTTGCTCGTACCTGTGAATGGGGAACGCTTGAAGATGAAATGTTATTAATGGTCATTATTATTGGTATGCGTGATCAAGATTTGAGTGATAAACTACAATTAGAAAATAAAGTTACATTGGAATCTGCAATAACTTCACTTCGCAAATCAGAAGAATTGAAACGACAAAAAGAAGAATTGACCCTCCCATCAATCGAAGCTGTAAATAAAAATCAACGTGCTAGATATGATAATGCAATACATTCATCCAAAAGAGAAAATAGGGATCAAGGGAGATTAACGTATTCAAGCTCAAATGTCAAGAGCTATCCCAACTCTGTATTTGGTGTGGTTCAACCCCTTCTCATCGAAGAGGTCTGTGTCCAGCAAAAGATCGCAAATGTTCTAGGTGCAAGCGAAATGGCCACTTTTCACACTGTTGTCTTCAAAACAATGTTCGAGAAATAGACTTGGATCGTTCAGATGACTTTACCCAAATCGCTAATGAACCAGACCCATCGAAAAAATTCATTGGGTGTGTGTATTATAGTAAAACAAAAAATGATCCCTGGACAATAAATGTAAGACTTAATGAAGACACTGTCAAGTTCAAAATCGACACAGGAGCTGACGTGACAGTAATACCATCCAACATAAAGCTAAGCAAAAAAATTTCAGTCCAGCCTACCCAGAGAACTTTAAGTGCGGCTGGAGGATCGCCTCTTTCTGTTCTTGGCACAATCACTGCAAAACTCTCTTACAAAGGACAATCGTGTATGGAAAAAATGTATGTGGCTGACAAATGCACAACACCACTACTTGGCAAACCAGCAATAGAAAAACTAAAAATAATACCGGTTATTCGTGAGGTATCGAAAACTAATTTCAACAAATCTGCTAATGATTGGATCAAAAACTTTCCTGACCTTTTCAGTGGTCTAGGAAAAATGAAGGGGAGCTACGAAATTGAACTTAAAAATGATGCAAAACCTTATGCGATATCAGTTCCTCGACGGATTCCAGTACCTCTTTGGGAAAAAACAAAGAAGGAGATTGAAAATATGGTGAATATGGACGTTATAACACCCGTTGATCACGCTACTTCTTGGTGCGCACCTATGGTCGTGGTGCCTAAGAAAGATAGAACTCAGGTTCGAATATGTGTGGACCTTACTATGCTTAATAAGAATGTGTTTCGACAAACTCATCCTATTTGGGGCATTGATTATACGATGGCTCGAATAAAAGATGCCAAAGTCTTTTCCAAACTGGATGCCAACCATGGGTTTTGGCAAATAGCTCTTGCAGAAGAATCTCAAGATCTCACCACGTTTTTAACTCCTTGGGGCCGATACAAATTCAAAGTTCTTCCATTTGGTATCACAAGTGCTCCCGAGTATTTCCAGAAACGAATTCAAGAAACCTTAGGATCTCAACGAAACTGTTTAGCTCACATCGATGACATACTTGTATGGGGTTCCAGTCAAGAGGAACATGACTTGATCTTAAATGAAGTTTTAAAGAAACTCAGAAATGCTGGAATTACATTGAATAAAGACAAATGTGTATTTTCTCAGCCAGAAGTACAATTCTTAGGACATCACCTTTCATCCCGAGGGGTTCAAATCAGCCATGAAAGAGTCAAAGCCATTCTTGAGATGAAACCTCCATCTGATATAAAAGAAGTACAACGCTTCTTAGGAATGATTAATTTTTGTGGTAAATACATACCAAATCGATCAGAAATACTAAAACCAATCCATGATCTACTTAAAGAGAAAAATGAATGGTTTTGGGGAGAACAACAACAGCATGCGTTTGAAAGTATAAAAAAACTTCTGACCTCAGCACCCCAACTAGCATTTTACGACCCTCGCTTACCAACTCTTGTGTCAGCAGACGCTTCTTCTTATGGTCTCGGCGGATTGCTTCTTCAGAAACATCATGATGGTAAATTCAGACCTGTTTCTTACATTTCAAGGTCACTTACAGAAGCTGAAAAATCATATTCAAATATTGAACGTGAAGCCCTGGCAATCACATGGGCTTGTGACAAGCTCAGAGACTATATAATTGGTCGAGAGATTGTAATTGAAACGGATCACAAGCCACTTGTAAAAATCTTATCATCTAAGAATTTGGATGACATTACACCTCGCTTACAGCGAATGAGGCTTCGCATGATGAGATACTCATATTCAGTGACATATACGCCTGGAAAACACCTTGCACCAGCAGACTGTCTTTCAAGATGCCCCATTCCAAGCAAGGAAACATATGACATGGAAGAAGAAATTGAAGCTTTTGTTCAAAATGTGGTTGAAAACATACCTACGACTGATGAAAACATAAACAGGTTACGGGAAGCTCAGCAAGCAGATCCCATCTTCAGAAAGATTGCAGTATACTGTCATACTGGATGGCCAGAAAAATCACAACTTCCATCTCAACTAGTCCCCTACTTCTCGGTTAAAGATGAGATATCACTGATGGACAACTTACTTTTACGCAATTCTAGAATAATAGTACCATCAAGTCTTTGTCAAGAAATGCTTCATAGAATACACGTCGGTCATCTAGGAGCCACCAAATGTCGAGAAAAGGCTAGATTCAGTTTATGGTGGCCAGGAATGGCATCAGATATAAATATGATGGTAGCTTCATGCCCAACATGCATTAAACACAGAGAAAATCGAAATGAGCCGCTCATTCCTTCCGAGTTTCCAAAACGTCCATGGGAAAAGGCAGCAATGGATTTGTTCAAGCTTAATGGCAAATGGTTCATTGTTATAACAGATCAGTTCTCGAGATATTTTGAGATTGCAACTCTACAATCGCTCACTGCATCTGAAGTTATTGAGAAATGCAAGTCAACGTTTTCTCGCCACGGTATTCCTGAAGTTTTATACTCAGATAGTGGAACGCAGTTTGGCATCACTAGTGCAGAATTCAGAAAATTTGCCAAAGAGTACAACTTTTTATGCAAAACAAGCAGTCCTCAGTTTCATCAGAGCAATGGCTCAGCCGAAGCAGCTGTAAAAATTGCAAAAGCTGTTCTAAAGAAGAACAAAGGAGATCCATATTTAGCTTTGTTGTCTTACAGGAACTCTCCACTAGCCAACGGTTACAGTCCAGCACAGTTATTATACGGACGCAGACTACGGGACAATTTGCCTACCTTACCATGTCATCTGGAGAACAAGCCAGACTTCAGTCATCTCCGAGAGAAGGAGAATCATTATAGACAAAATTACAAACGAAATTACGATCGACGACATGGTGCTCGACCCTTATCAGATATGAACCCAGGAACCAAAGTTTGGATATCTGATTTGAAACGTGAAGGAAAAGTCGTAGAAAAGTTAAACTCACCACGATCTTATAAAGTACTGACGGACAAAGGAACCATAGTTCGAAGAAACCGGTTTCACTTACAACCAATGCCAAACATTCAAAAGGAAAGTTACCACAACCATCAAGCATCAACAAATAGTCAGAAGGATCATTGCCACAACCATCAACCATCAACAAGTAGTCAGAAGGATCATCGATCTGAGGAAGACAACGGTATGTGCTTAACAAACTTTTCAACAGATAACCGTAACAGTCAACCATTAACAAGAGGTCCGATGGATCATCATGAAGACATGCCAAACTTTTCAACGGTTCCTCCAAACACCTCTGGAATGTCTTCTGCTAACATAACAACCCGATCAAGACGACTTATAAAACCTCCCCAGAAACTCAACCTTTAAAGAGGGAGATGTAATGGTTGGCTCTACTGACTATTGTCATTTTAGTTTATTATCATGTGTTAATTGTTTTTGTTTACTTGGAGTTGATTGATACTAATAAAATACTTTTACCTAGATTATTCTATCATGATCAATTCTGATTTAATGGGTTTAATACAGGATGTTTGTGTCGGTTCTGCAAAAAAACATATTAAATTCACAACTTGGTCACAAATATAACCAACTCATGATAATAAGTAAAGAGTGATTTGGTGGCTCAGTCGGTAGTGTCACGGACTTCGGACCTAAGGCAGCAACGTCGTGGGTTCGGATCCTGGTCCCTGCCGAAAACATTTTATCAGTACAGATCACCTTTGTACTGTACCGGCTCACTCCTTGCTTTTCTGTATACGATCCACACATGGGCAGTTAGTCTATGTGGATGGGCAAATGCAAGGTTAAAAGAGACTGCCAACCTCTTAAAAAAAGTAACTGGTATAAATTTAACTTAAGCTAAAACACAGAATATAATGAGCAGTTTATGTATGATGTATAATTTAGATCATTTTTAGTAAATGAGACTGTAGGAGTAAATAGTAGTTACAATCATAGTGTCTTTAATTTACTTTTTATATTTTAAAGACCATTGCATCAATTTTATTTGTATGGCCTGGCCCTGGCCATATACTTACTCTCCATGCCCCATTGTAGGGAGCAGAAACTCCATTCCCGTTCATACTTCCATGGAAAGTGATTTTTTTCCCTTTGGCCACGTTTTGTTTTTCTTCTGTATAAAGCTTGACGATGGGAATCTCTCAACTTCCTCCAATCTGACTTTACAATTTCTTCTGAAACAAAATTACCAGATTTCCAGCCTCCTCCACAGATACATATAAAACAATAAGCTACAGCTACAATAACTACAATAATATCAAATATAAAGTTTACAAACAGTCAGCTGATCATATGATAATTTTAACATTCAAAGTACAGTTGAGACAGTAGTTAGCAGATTCAAATTGATGGCAAAACTATGTAGCCACATACTCAATCTTGTATATTGACTGAAACACCAGCAAAACCATGTACAAACGCACCCTTTCCGGAAACAAATGACGGACTACGTGACTGTGACTACGACCTACGACCACAAGCAGCGGCTACACTTACCCGATTCGGTCCGGTCCTCCAAAATGCGGAACAATGCTTCCCATGTTTTTAAATGGAGGCGGCTACACTTACCCGATTCGGTCCGGTCCGGTCAGGTTCGGCGCGGAACAATCGTCCAGGGAGCATTCATCCGCATTTGGCGGAAGCATTCGGGGCGGACCGGACCGAATCGGACAAGTGTAGCCACCTACTCCCGAAATTCGGATGAGGATCGGGTGGTTCCGTGAGCACTCGGCTACGAAAGTGATGAATTAAATTAGGAAATAGTTATTTGTAGGACATAGGCCTAAGAATTTAGGCAATTATGTTCATATATTGACTCGATCATGGAAGACGATAATCATGTCTACACGACCGCGGAAAATAGTCTGAATTTTGTCGCAATATTGGGAGACGATTACAGTGTCTACACGGCCGCGAGGGATTATAGAAAGTTTACCGCGATTGCATGCAAATAAAACCACAATTTTTTTAATTTTTCATTTTTTTGGCACCCCCCAAAAAAGCCAAGTGCCTCGCGCCCTAGGCACGTGCCTACCGTGCCTATTCGGTTAATCGGTCCTGACTAAACACTTTCTGTATTGCTGTACTTGTGCCAGTTGTGCCCCGTGCTCGTGTGTGTCCTCCAAAATATCGTACAAGTGTAGCTACCTCTTCCGGCCGGACCGAAACGATTCGTACAAGTGTAGCCACCCCTCACAAATTCGGGCCGGACCGAAACAAACCGGACCGGACCGAATCGGGCAAGTGTAGCCGCTGCTTAGCTATGTTCTATGCCTACGACCAGTCACACCGTGTTTTGACGGATTTCCTGTTTAGGCGGGTTGAGGGGGTACATTCCGGACAGGAGGGGGGAACGTCTGCGGTGAATGCCCTCGGACGGAGCTATTTCGTTATTTCCGATTTTCGTCGCGTCTGCGAGCCGACAGACGCGATACGCGCTGTGTGTTGATCCATTTAATTAGTACGTCGATAATTTCTTCTGCACCCAGACGTCCGTCTGTGGATGGATGGATGCCCGGTGTGTATTTTCGGCTCAGCGAACGCAAAACAAACAACTGCTACTCCTCGACTCCAGCGTTCAAGATAAATCGGAGTAATTTTTTACCGACACATAAAAGTATAAAACGTAGGTATTGGAAATCACTTGAAAAATTTATGTAAAGCTAACTGGATTCTCAATAAATAAAAAGTTATGCTAGAAAGGTGTGTCGAACGGTCGCCTTGGCGGCTTATGCATATTGTCAGAACATAATAATGGTACAAAGAAATTAGTCAGTTCACAGTCAAACAACAACAAGCCGAGGAAGCTGTAAAATAAAATTACGATTGCTTAGAAATGGATTCCGGTATCTGACCATTATCAATGAATACAATTGCTATTATACAGGTGTTATTTTTAAAAAATAATGGGGAACAGATATTTCATACGTTAGAAGAACCTGGGGACCGAGCAAGGCTTGGTTGTGGTTAATTGGGTTTAATAGTTATAACAACACACATTTTATAATAATCATTTTATTATGTTAATATGATTTAAACAAAATCATATTAGTTTCAAAATGGCTTGTGACAATGATTTTTTGCTATTACTTATAAAACAAATTGAAATTCTGTATGTCTTTTCAACCAAAAAGCTAGCTTTTAAAACTAAAAAGCTGGGATTTAGCATACGGTAATAGTTTTATGCCAATAAACCCCCCATATGTAGGCCTAATAAGTTTACTTGTAATACCTCAGTACTTCAGTGATTAAGTTTTGGTGGAAGAGGCTAAGTAAAATAATCATTATTTGATCGGAACTACTTTCCCCTATATCGAGTAATCTTCAGTTTAATCTTTGCTCAATAGTTTCATCTGATGTCTTTCCTTTTGTACTGTATTCTGTAGTTTGCTAGTATATTGTTGATGGCTCGTTATAGCACATGTGCCAAGTATTTTGTTAACTTTTCCTTCTATTTACATAATTACTGAGCAACCCATAAGGCCAATGTTATATATATTTTTTTAATTTCAAATGAGTTGTATAGATAAATACAAATTTTCCTGTAGTAGTGGCAGTCACCAATTACGTTTTTAGGGTTTTAAGCCCCTAATTCCAAAATTTAGTCAAAATCGTTCCGCTGGATTTCGAGAATTAAATTACAGCATTGACTATTACAGACAAACAGACAGGCATACCTCGTGTTAGCGTATTAGATAGATAGAATATAGGATTATTATATTATGAGATATATATATTATGATATATATATATCTCAAATGTAATACTTTTCATCTTTAGTATAAACGAGGGTGTCCGTGCTCAAATTGCGCATTTAGGGGTTAAAACTCAACTGCCATTCATAAAGACTAATGTAATCCCGTACCCTATTGCTTTCTCAATAGGCCTAATTATTTCGAAACTGCAATTGTTAAAATTCATGAAAAAATCATATAAATAATAGATTTGTAAGACAGTTATTATTCATCAGTTATCATGGACAACTCTAAGCCTAGTGATGAAAAACATACCAAGTATGTCGATTGTATATTGATCCTGTATAAATAGTGATTTAACTATCTCAATGATGAATAAAAAGAGCATGCTTGAAATCAATTTTTATTAACTTTTACGTCCCCTGTTTACAATCCGACTGTGGTTGAAAATCAACTGCTTGGTTACATTTCAAATTTAAAACAATTATAAATTAAGTTCGACAGTGGCCTTGAATGCTAGGGGGCGAAGCCCTAAACATTCGCTTTTCACTCATCTATCCCTGCGCTACATCATAAGCTTTCAAATGACACCACAATCGTAAAAATCGGTTAAGTAGGACGGGCGAAAAAGGGGTATGGGAAACCCTTTTGTATAAAATAATGCAAGTGAATATTGAAAAACTATTTATAAATAAATTCTATGTTTTATAGCCCAAAAAGAGTTTTAAAATTTGTTTGTGGAATTATGTATTTTCCATAGGAAATTTTACCACTTTGCCCCTGAAAACATTTTCTGCTTGCGGCCTTGGATGCAATTTTCGGCTTGCTACTCAAGACTTGTTAAATTCGCCGATCGCGAGTTTGCAACCTTTTCAAGTGATTGTGATGATAACCAGTCCCTAAGTAGAGCAGCCGCACGCAAGGGCGTGTGCCTACCTTGTGACCTATATACAAATGTCAGCCCTTCCCTACCCTTCCCTTGACTACCCCAACGATGGTAATCAGCACATTCTACCCTTTCACCTACTTTCTCAAACAGGGCCGAGATTGCACTTCATTGTGAAGGGTTGAGGAGAGTTTGTCATCGGTTTGTTGATGTAGCCCGAAAATATGTAACGTTCAGCGACACTTGGGGCACAGACATCAAACATGTAGGTCGTGTCGCTGACAAAATCAATTAATATTTTTCTTTTTTTTACAGATATCATCGTATTTGTAAGATATTAGCAAATATCCTCCTATAGGTAAGAATATTGTCGTTGTTAGGCATAGACCCGGGACCGATTTACATTTTTCATTTTGGTGTCCCTAGAGGCCAAACAATTTTTAGCACGATAACTTAGGTAAAAATCATCAGATGATGAAATTTAATACAAACGAGTTTGCGAACTACCATGATTGGACTTTGGAAATGGGGTGAAAATTTTTCTCATGGTTGACACTCAAAACATACGATTTCCCAATTTTTTCTAAATAATTTTGTAGAGCGGGAAAGTGTGTTATTATATTTTTTTTCGTGTCATAAAGTTTTCAAGTAAAACTTTACTTACTTTCTTACTTACTGCCATGGCCATTTTTACCCCAGATGGTACTTGGCCTCAGCAATACATTGCCTCCATCTATCTCTGTCCTCGGCATCTTCCGGAATTCCCAAGGGCCTCATATCTTGCTGGACCTGATCCCACCATCTACTTCTTGGTCCCCCTGGGTGTTATTCCTTCCACCTTTCCTTTCAAGATGTTTTTCAGGTTCTTTTCTTCTCTTCTTAGTACGTGTCCATCTAAGTATCTTGTCCCTTCTCCTACTATGTCCGCTTCTTTACACAAATCTCTTTAATTTCTGGTTATGCCTTATCCTCCATCGCCGCTGTCTTGTGTTGGACCAAAACATTTTGTTGACACCTTAATTTCAAATTACTATTATTTTCCTTTCTTTTGTTTTGTTGAGTATCATGATTCTGAGCCATATAAAAGTTACTGGTCGGATTATGGTTTTATATTAACGTAGCTTTGATGAAAGGGGTAATATTTTAAATTCATTAATTTGTTGCAGCCGTGAAATATTTTATTTGCTAAATTCAGCCTATTCTGTATTTCTAATTCTTCTCTGTTTTGTCCTGTCAGTATTGTACCCAGATATGTAAAGGCATTCCAACTTGCAGACAATCCTCTTTCCTAAGGTCTTCTTGCTTATCATTTAGTCTTAGAATCATTAATTTCAAGTCCTGCTTTTTCACCATTTGAAACTATTATTATAGTTAGGTCTATCAAATATTGTTTCTTTTAACCTGCTTATGAAGTAAAGTTCAACCGTTTATTTGAGGTTAACGCGGATGATATTTATTTTATCAGAAAGTTATACAGGTAGGCATACTCTTACTGTTACAGAGTAATTTTCCGCACCAATAGCGGAAAATTAGATTTTACAGGCTCGAGATCGTATAATCGAATACAGTTTGCAGAACCGATATTCGAATGCGATTTTTACTGCGACCAAAGTTAAAAGTTTCTTACACTATGAAAAAATATAGTTCATCATACGAGCAAAAAGTGTCTTTTCGATCCACGCTCATTTTCAAAACTTGAGCTCAAAAAGTCGCTCAAGGCCCTAGTGACGTAATATATTATTTAGTATCAAGAGCTTTTAAAGATTATATAATAATATGCTACTTCTTTGCCTGCGATACCTCCTGGTCACTATTAGGGATCAATAATAACAAATGTTTTCAGTTTAGCACTGAAACATTTAAACTACAATATAAATACAGTACTATAGATTAAACATACTCCCTTAGGGAGTATGTTTAATCTATGACAGTACCTATTGTATAACATTTTTAGGAAACATAGTGCTCGCCTTAAAACCGGAAGGTTGCTATTCGATTCAATGCAGGGCTGGTTCTATTTTCAGAAGTAAATTAATCGTTGGTCTGTTGATTATTGATTCTAACTAAGCAAAGATCCATATGTGTTTCCATTACCGTAGTACTCATGGTAAGACTTGGAGCTGGGACCAATTTACTTTTTCGTTTTGAGGTCCCCAGAGGCCAAAAACACCCTTCGTTCAAATTCATGTATGTGTCCGTTAGCGCGATAGAGCAAAACATGAACCGATTGTGATGAAATTTGGTCGAAACGTGTAAACCTACGCTTATTCGAACGAGTTCGCGACCAGCATGATCTGACTATGGGAACGGGGGTTTTATGAGGTAAAAATTGGGTTTTCCCACTATCGACAAAAAAAATACATTTCACAATTTCTTTCCAGACCATTTTGCAGAGCTTAATAAAATAAATAATTTTGTATATTGAAGCGTTGTTGTATGCCTAACGGCATTGACTTAAATTTAACCAATGTTAACGGTTACGGAGATAATGAAAAAAACCGTTCAATTTAAAATTCCCATGTTATTCTTATGGAGAATAAATAAACTGTTCCGTGTAGCAGCAAAACTAGGTACTCATTAAAATTAATGTTATTTAAATAGAAAATAAATCAGACAATTTTCAGGGTATATTTTAGTAGAAAGCCAGCAAGATAAATAGAAATTCGCTTAGTCTGCAGGTTTGCTGCGGCGGGAATATTGTTTGTATTGAATTCACATTTAGCCACCGGTTGATAAATGTTTTAAATTTAATTTTCATACTCTTAAACTAAAACTGCTTGAAAAGGAAAACATTCTAAATTAAAAGTTTACATAGAATAATCGATCAATAAGTTAATTTCACATTTTAAAAATATACTTTCTTTTAAAATTTGAGCCCATTAATCCGTCCTGATTCTAAAAACAGCACCAAGCTATGAATAATGATTAAAAATCTATTAAATCCTAAAAAAGTATGTAGTGTGTTTTACTGTAATTTAACTTTTATGCATGGAAATTTTTCTCAAAAAATGTGGAACGCTTCACGATTTTGCGTGTCATCCTTGCGCAGGGGCCATGCTAATCTTCTCTGTATCGTTCCAATTTTAGTATATGTACTGCCGAAGCAAGTACGAAGAATGGTAAGAACAGTCGAGTATATATGCGAAGACGCCAAACCATTTTTCTGTCGTCTGACGCCTACTTTTAACAGACCGTATAAGTAATGTTTACTATGTAAATTAGTTTTGAGTTGTGTTTAATAGTACACAATAAGTACCTCTACATTATAAAAGGGTTTAAAAGTAAAGTTAACCTGTTCAAAATATTACTTTTACTACTTAAAATACCGTAGTTCTCGCGTAAGTTCACCAGAAAGTACTGCTAGCGCTCCTAACGGCGCTAAGCAGTACTACGCCGAAACTCGCAACTGTACAGAACGTTGTTAAGGGCGCGCTTTACCCCTGACGCGCAACCGAATGCAAGGGTTTGCAAGATTTCTGTTTTCACCTGCTACATTGAAGGTAGAATCAAAGTTAAGGTCTCATATTAAAGAGGATGAAATTTTCTATAGTTCTTTGTTTCTATATTTCAATTATTTTAAATACACACCTTATAAACTTGAGTTGTAATACAAGAAAAAAGGGTATTTTCAACTAGCCTTAACTTATAAAAAAAAAACGTTTTTTGAACATTTAAAAAACGCAGAACTATAGATTGGTCTATAAGTCGTTTAGAGTGCGTATCTATCATTATTTGTTAATTCTAAAACAGAAATCTTGGAAACGTCTGCAAGCGCTTCTCGCAGCGCTGTCCAATGGTGAAACATAGACAGCTACTGAATCCCGAGCTATAGCTACTGATATACTAATAGCTACTGAAGCCCGAGCTATAGCTACTGATATACTTATTGTAATATTTCATTTCATTTCATTCATTATTTAGTATTAATTTTTTTTATGTTAACTTCTATTCATACACCTAATAATCACTCCTCAGAAAGACTGTCATAATATTCATTTTCCTAATTTATATCATTTCATTAATATGTTCAATTAATCATTAATAATATTCATTCCATAGCCTATATTTTTTTTTTACAACGCCCACAACCTAATTATTTATTAAATATGTAAGAGAATTGCAATACATCAAAATTTCTTATAATATCATTTCAAAATTAGTCCTTAAGGAATCAAAATTTAAGAAGCAGTGAAAGTGATCCCATGTGTTCAACAATCAGTGATGTGAACATTGGAATTGAGAGAGAAGGAAGCCATTGGAGAAGTTGAAATTGTTAGAAGAAGGAATCAAAATTTTACCTAAGTTAAATCAAATTCATTTATCAAGAAGACCAGTTTCAAGTTATATCATATAGTAGCCTAAACCTCAAGAGGACTCAACTCAATCATTATCTTCAAAATTAAGTATAAACTTTTCTTTAAACTCTTTTAAATTTTGTGCTAATTGGACTTACCTTTTGGACAACACCAAAATTAGATTTTTCATTGTTGGGATTTATAAGTTTAACACATTAATTAGGCCTATTTGGACACTATTAAATTTTAATTCTTAGCATTCAAGCCAGCACGACACCCCACCCTGAGATAAATCACATCTAAATTCTTTGAACCTTCAAGTTATTATTCAAATTTATCTTTTATTTCAATTTAATTTCAACCCCATACACCATTGTCAATCCTTTCATTGTAACGTCAAGCCTTTTTTCATTGCATGTTAATTGTTCATCTGTTTAAATAAAACACCTTTTGTAATCCATATCTTTGTTAAATTATTAACTTTAAACATTTATAGAATAGGCCTAGCCTAAATGAATATTTTAAGGTAAGTTTACATTATAGCTACTGAAGCCCGAGCTACGATTTCCGAGCTGAGGTAAAGCGCACCCTTAATGGAGGTAGACGGTTTTTTTAAACAATTGTTTTCCACAAATCGCATTTAATTGTACTGAGATGAATTAAATAATAATACTAAAAACTACTTATTAATAAAATATCAGTATTTTGTGGTGGTACCGTGAATGTTTATTTATCAAAACATCAGCTTTAACTAAAATATCATTATAGTTTACATGCGAGAGCTCGCCCCGTGGTCGAAAACTCGACCAAAAGTATGTATTGTGCAAACCTCTCTATTTTAATTCCACGCTGTAAATAAAACATTTGATTGTAATTTCTTCCATTTCTTTTGATTTCGTTTATATTTTGTTGCTATTTCGTCACCAAGATGGCAACCCATAGTAATTGTTTTATTTTTAAATTAATTTTTGTGCTTATTTTTTAGCCTATTTTAATTTATAAAGGGATTCTGCACATCTACAGGAAAATATCTTTTATTTGGTAGCAACCGCGTGTGATTCGGTCCAGTAGTAATGGTTCAGGCTGTCATAAGTTTTGCAAAAGTTTTTTCGTACCTATGTAAGAAGATTGCGATTACTGAAATAGTTAAACACAATGTTGTGCGTGAATTTAATTAAATTTCCATTAAATTGATATTTGTCATTTGCCCGTCATCGTTTTACCGTTTTACGATACGAAACAAATTCAACAACGATGGTGTTTCTATATCACATTGCTTAAAACTAATTTAAAAGTCTTTGGTTAATATATTTTGTTGAACATATGTTATTTATTAATACTATCAGCTGATTATAAAATGAAACTGTTCTAAACTAATCATAACCTTAAAAAACTGCAGTATGTGAGTAAATGTAGGACTAAACTAAAGTGCAGCCACATTTGTTATTTCCCGGTCTATGACATTTTTACTCATGAACAAATCTAAACAGTGTACCTATAGTCAACTACTGTAAGGTAATGTGGTGTGAGATTTGTATTATCAGAATTGCATCGCATCAACGCGCACGCTCGCGTTCAAACGTTTGCCGTCGCGTCGCCAGTTAGCCAGCGTTGTCCGAACAGTATGGTTTGTACCTAACTGTAGTGAAGTGAAGCGAAACTACGTCCAACATGAAGTTCAAGCAGGTTTTAGACGTAAATAAAGTGATCGCACACTTACTACAGGTCGGGAAGAAGAAGACGGAAAAACAGGTTGGTGGAAAAGTCGTTTTAAAAGTTTGTGTAGAAAAAAATATGGTGGCGGTTTTAAAGTGTTTTTAAATTCTGTAGGTGTATGAAAAGTTGCAGTAGTTTTCATAAAAGTTTTAGTAGATACAACATTTTTAATACAAATTTAATATACCATTTTTTATTGTATTTTGAAGTTTTTAAAGTTGTTTAATGTGGTACCTATTTATTTAATTTTTACGGTTACTAAAATGGTCGGTAAAAATTAGTTGCTTAAATTACATAAAAGTACCTGGGAATAGTGCGGCACTATCAACAAAAATGAACGAAAAAAAATCTATGCTGTATTAGTCTTATGGTAGGTAGTATTTTTTTACTTTTTAGATCCAAAATTCTTAAATAGGCCCAATACTGTAGTTAAATTTGGAGGATTTGCCAATATTAACAAAAAAATGTTGTGAGAGCTACAGAATCTATGAAATTCGTAGTAGTTTTTGGAAAATCTTTTTTCTCTAAGTTTTAGAAACAGGTTTGATCTACAATGTTGATATTTTTTTTTTAAATATTGTAAATCATAAATCGTTAAAAAAATTATTGCAGTTTTGTTATTCAATTCTTTCATAAGTAAAAATCTGGAAACTCGGTTTAATTTACAATTATTACAAATACTTTTAAAAACTGAGTGTTTTACACTATGTAACGCTATGTTTGGTTATATTTTTATGTTAAGCTTTAAAATTCCGTGTGTGGAAAGAAAGTTGTAGAATACAGTAGGCCTACCAGGATCATAATGAATAGCCTAATATGAAAAATACCACACAAACGCGGTTTATGTAAGTTGTAGGTATTAATCATTCAAAAATCAAAATAATCTGAATATAAAAATAATTGTTTTGATTGAGTGGTCCATATTGATATTGAAGATTATGATATTTTAATAAATGGAGAATGTTAAATCGTCTCAGGTTGTGTTTTCTTCGGCTGAAAGGAAATTACTGGATCGTAATATTTTAGTGAATTGGGATGTTTTGGTAGATGAGGATGTATAGCCTATTTGAAAACTATACAGTTATTTTAGTTATTTTCCTATGGTTTGGGTTATAATTTGTATTACAGGTCTTAAAAAATTCGGTTAGTACTTAATAATCAGCACAAAAAAACATTAAGACATAACCCTTATCTACAATATAATTCTATCTTGCTAAAGGAACATTCTATGCATATGAAAACTCTCTCTATTTTAGTTAGCCAGATGAAAATTTTTATAGCCTAGTGCAACGAATAATTAGGATGAGTACCTAAATAAGCGCAGATGTTATTAGGCAACTTCTATGATATTTCAACATGCGCTCGTGCTTGAAACTGGCAATTAATTAGCAAAGACCTTGAATAAGTAATTGATTCCAAGCCATTTAATACAAATTTCATAGATGTAACCATTTCAAGGTGACAATATAAGTTGGATAAAATTCCCAGAAATTTGCCTTATCCATGTACCTTTTTAAAAATACTTCTATTTATTTGAACTTTTAATAATCTCCCCACCACGTTCTTTATTGGTGAAAAAAACCATTGTAAATTTTTAATTTCATGCGGTAGTTATTAAAACAATTAAAAATCAATAATTGCAATAAAATTATACATTCGTACTTTGTATGATTGTTTTTCTTTGAAGTTGGGTTGTTACTGTACTCAAATCCTTGGGGTTGACAGAGTAGTTTAATAAATATGCCTGCACTTATTTAAAAATTATTATTAACCTCAGAAACCTTATATTGTTGCATATTAGGATGAACTATGCGTAGCCTTTTATGATATGTCCCAACTTTACCGAATCTAAGTAAAAACAGCTGATTAAGCAAAGATAGCTTAAAAATATTACGATGTTACTTACCCAAAAAATAAAATACTCGCTCAATTGTAGATTTGAAAATAACCCGAAAAAGAAATCCCACAGATTAATCTTCTCGGAAATAGTTTTACTTCTAGATTTTTAGAGACTAAATAATTGTAAGCTATTAAATTTTAACCTCTCATTATAAAATGAGTTTGTAAATATTTCTCCTCTACTTAAAGATACTTTCCCTCACCGTACACTGTTGTGTGGGTAAACATCAAGTCAATAATCTCCCAGATAAGGCGAACACTAAGGTCAAAGGCGAGGCTATTATAGGTTCAAAGACATCCAATAACACCTTAGATAGCTTCAGAGGTCTTTGGAACTTCTTATCAAAATTAGAAACTGTCCAGACCACTTACTTTTAATGCTGAGTATTTTGTATCAATTTAAATGTTCCATGTTTTTATTACACGCTAAAGATGCCGAGTTTCAATTTTAATCGGAAATTGGCTTCTGTATTTTTAAGTAAGTTGTAATTTTTATTACGTATCCGAATCGGCTTTACAGGGGTGACTTATCAAAATTAATCGCCAGTTTTATTTATGTACCATTTTAAGAGTAGTCATCATCTTGTAAATGTTTACAAAGTGTAGATAGATACCTATAAAAAAAGTCCTTGAAAAACGTATTTTCATAATATTCGTAATATTTCATTCAAACATTTTCAAAAAAAAAAGTATGAGAGAGTTTTCAAAGCTCTGTTTCATAAAGGCAGAGTAATTTATATTTATATTTTTTGTTGTCAGATATTAAATTATTTTTACTGCGGGATATTATATCATTCATTCTTGTCTTTCAAACATGAATAGAGTTTCATATGTCTAATTCGTGCTCCAATTTACACTAGGCCTTATTGATACATTTGCAATTACACTAAAATAAATTTAAATTAATGAATTATGCGTAATGGTACTCTGTATATTGAGTGACTTGCCTAAAGTGGAAAATCAATATGGAACGTAAACATGAGACTTTTATATCCTAAAGTTCAAGGGTAACCCGCAGGGAGGTTTGGTAGCTCAAAGTGTCTAAAAATCTATGCATTTTTGCGTACATTTAATGTATCGAAACCGAATCTCAAATCCGACTGACCTGAAAAAAGTTTCGATTTCGAGTTTTGATTGACTCGAGTTCTTTTGCCTTTTATTATCTATTATGGTATTAAACATTGTTCAATGAGGATTTTCCTCCATTTCCAGCATCTTTGAATAGATTTAGGTTTGTCACAAATGAGATAGTAATTAAAGTATCTCTTTTCTCTTTAAGTGATAAGTAATCTTATCCCTACAGCTTGGTAAATTAAATTACATCAACATTGTATATTATCTAACAAATACAACGGAAAACCGGTAACGTTTGTATGTAAACGGGAAAAGACATAATTTTGGTTAAAAATTAAATTTATTAATTACAAGTCCGAGTAATTCCTGGTTTTACCATCAACATTAAAATAATATCAATAATAAAAAAATTGAAATAAAAAATGGGTTTTGTTTTACTTTATAAAATGTATAATTGTTCCAGTTTAAGGAAAACGAACTAACTAACTTTAGTTTGTATGATGGAGATTATGAACTAGGCCAACGCATATAGAGAACTTTTTGTACATTTAACTTTTAATCCAACTTCCTACGCCACAAATAATTGAATTAAACACAAAATAATTTTTGAAAGTATATAATACGATTGAGTTTTGCTAACAATACTGTAAACATAGTTTGTAACGGTTTTCTCTGATTCGAATAACCAAGCTATAAAATTCGTCGAAGTTGTATTTTTTTTGTGCTGACGAGCTTTTCTGTATTCCGTATTTTATTGTCTTACCTCCTCACCAAAGATAGCGTTAATTTACTTTTATAAATATTCTGTTTAACTGCTGGAGTTAAGAAAATCCATTTAAGTAAGCTGTAAAATCGGACATTGAATACATCTCGTTAAAGATAGGCTTAAGAACCTTTACACACGAGTATTTAAATATTTTTGTTGTCCCAAATATTCCGGTCGACATATTATATCGTAAAATAATGCATTGTCAAACTAAATATGAATAAATTGCGCAAAATATAAGAAGGTAAAAAAGTCGCATCAGACAAATAAAGTCACACAACATACCTTCCGACAGACAGATAAAATACAAGTTTTAATTGGTCCCTGCAGCTCTTCTGCAGCCTGTATTGGCGATGTTGTAAGTCTTGTTTTTCAATTACCAACTTAAATTGCTTTATTGCTCGGGGTTTCTCGCTACACGGGTATTTAGGTTATCCTGAATCCTATCAGGAATTGTTTGGCTCTATTACTAATCCAGTAAACTGACTTCATTATGTTAAAATGTTATTGGTAGAAACAAAATGGTTATTTTAAACATCTGTTGATTGAATCGATTTTAAATTTAGTTTGTTGGTTGAAAACATTAGGAGAAGAATAAGTTGTTATTTGTTTCATACAAGATTTTAATTGTTTTTAATTTTATTTAAAAATTTTCTTAGTTTTACATTTGATACGTGAATGCTGGTTATTTATGCTGGCGACTTTTTGTATTAAAAATCGATTGTTTTGGACACAATCATACATATACATTTCTAAATTGGTCTTAAATTCATACCAACCGTATCCCTGCTCTAGGACTAGCCTGAAGTAAAGTGTTAAACAGTTCCGGGCTAGAACTAGCGTCCTAGGATGTGAAGGATGACTCTAAAAAAGATTTTTCAGTTTGAACGTACTCAGTTTCTGATGGTTCCTTTTGGTTCGAATTAGGTTTTTCTTGGTTTATCCTACATTATCAATTTTCAAGACAAATACGTCAAATACTCCATGGAAAACTAGTTCATGGTTCATATTAGACCGTTCATGATTAATCCCGAGTATTTCAGAGCTCAACGTATTTCAAGGTTTACACTAAAATCCGATTTTGGCTCTCTTTAGCTTTTACGTACCATAACGATTGGAACAGAATACATCCTTAATGATATAATTATAAAACACAACGCTATCCTAGGGTTCGTTTACTCTACAATCCCTTTATGTTTCATATTTCAAGTCAGTCTTTGTAACTATGAAATTCAAGATCTCTTAATCAAAACAACCTTTGAGACACTTGTTAGCTGTTTTCAAAACAAGGCTTGTT